CCATAGGTTATACATATAATTAAATAATTAGTCGTTATTAATTCCATGCATTGCACACACACACACACACACACACACACACACACACACACACACACACACACACACGTATATATATATATATATATATATAGTTATAATTATAGTTCTTTTATAGTTCTTTTCCTGCCAGCTACTTCACCAGCGTGGTCCTGTATCATTCATATAAACCTTCCTCTTGAAACACTGTGTGTTGATGAAAACCATATTAGAATCCGTTGTTTACTCGAAATGACAGCGGGAAGTGACTTTATTTTCTACTATGTATAAGCAGATATTACACTAACAAGTAACCACACTTACTTATGTCTTTTGTATGCTTTCTAGTTGCGTGTGCGTTTGCGCAGTCATAGTAAAGCAAAGGCAATTTGTTTTGGAAGTATCTAAGGTTCGTAGGCTGCAAGCATAGGTAATAAAAAGAGCATCATAAGTAGCAACGCCTTTTAAAGAAATAATAAAAACTATATTTTACTAAATAATACGGCCTAAGATTTGTTATAAAATGTCTTGTTAAAGGACAATCATAGATCGTCAGGATAATTTTGTTACTGACACGCACTCTGTCTAAAAATGAAGCTGTTGCGCATGATAGCGGCAAATCCATCGGTATGGACCTCGGCAAACATGTCAGAAGCGACAAAACATTTTACTCATAGAAGCGACGCAACCCCAACAATAACCTAAATTTTATGTGCACACCGTTTTCACTAATTTTATCTACTTACCTACAGTTGTTACTACCTACTATTAAGAAGAAACGAAAATGTTAGCGAACGTTAAAAAAAATATGGAATCATCAATTTTATATTACTGTGTCTATATCAACAAAAAAACTCTTCATTAGTGTTACTGAAACCATAGGAATCAATGTGAAAGAGGAAGTATTTAAAAAAAACATTAGTTCCCGAAATCAAACTAGATGTCGCTACGGTACATTTTTGATTTCTCCATGACAACCCTTCCGGTTTTCTTTCATGTTTAAAAGTAAATTAGTTTTCAAAACTCAATAAACAACTCATATTCTATTCTTTTCAAATTTCAGTTTTTTAATATGTTAGTTAAATGGAATGGAAATGATTGTCTTCAGTCCATACGTTTCCTGCAAAAATCAACTCTTGCTAGAGTCGCCATCTAGCGGAGGTGCTTTTTTAGTGCTTTCGTTTTTTTAAATACTTCCTCATTGCTGTCATTATTTTCATGTATACAATATAATAGTTATTTAATTTATTAAATACGAGTGCAGAAAGTAAGGTTTTACGAATAAGGGCCAAATTGATTTTCGTTGGCACGAATTCGAAAAACCTTTTAAGCTCAAGTTTCTTAGAACATTTTTCAATGCTTTTTGCGAGGAAATAAAACAAATATATAGGTTAATAAAACTAAGTATGTATTAAAGGTTAAAGTTATTTGTTAAAATTAAACGTGATATTTGAACATGTTTTCGTGTCATACATTTTTATTAGAAAATATTAGTGCTAGGCTCCTTGAAATACTTTTGACATATTTTCATCAAGTTTTTTTTAATTTCTTTGGTGCTCGGCCAAAAAAAATTAAATAAATACTTTTAAGCACGTGTGCAGTAACGGATTCCAGTACATTTTTATTTAACACGTGTTTAAAGACTCACTTTCGGTGTTTACAATAGATTAAAAAAAAGCGCTTTCTGAGTAACTGCATTGAAAAGATATTTTCAACATCTTTGCTCATGGTCGCGATAAACGAGACGCTCCGAACCATCCCAGAAAAAACATTGTTGTCGTATTTAGAGATAAAACATGTAGCCCTGGTAGATTTATTGAATTAGGAGCCGTAAAGAATTGTATTTAAACTGTAATCTAGCTACATCATTGATATTTTAAAGTGTAAAGCGACATGCAAATATGAAATTATTAGATACAAAAGAAAATGAGAGATATCAGTGCTCTGTATTATTAGTGATGTTAACAAAGACAAATAATCTCCGATCAATACCAAAGTTTTATAACTCATAAGCATGATAGCTAACATTTTATTAGACAATTTGTATACTTATGTCTGTTTATTAAGTACATCAAAATAAAAAAACATTATTATGATAAAAATTATATAACAAAGATATAATTTATTCCTATTTAAAATAATATTTATCTGATACTGCAGACATCTTTTTCAGAAAAGTTAAAGACTTAAGATATGATTTCTGATATGATAACGAATGAAATAATTAATGATTTATTGAACACACCATTATCACATTATAACAGCAAAAATAGCACAGGAATAAGACGAATTGTTAGATACAATTTATATAAAACTAGGGCCCTCAAGGGTAGTGTGTCCAAAAGGCTCCAACTCGAAAACGTAAATTTGTGTACTGTCTGGTTGTTACTTATAATTAAATATTAAATTCACCCCATGATGACCAATAATGGTTATTTGAATAAATTCGTAGTACCCTACAGCTCTATACCATGGCTTAAATATACAGCCAAAGAAAGATTCTTTTCTTGATTCCAGAATTGCTGAAAACGAGGTAAAATGGTATATTAATAATTTTTTACTCAAACAAAAAAGAAATAATAAGTTTATTTTGTGAATTTTATAGTGAAAAAAAAAACAGAGAATTATATAAATTTTATTTGGTGATCAGCAATGAAACAAAGAGGTTAGGTATATTATTATGATTTATATATTTTTTAAATACGTGCTGTTGTATTTCAAAGAGGTTATTCTGCCACTTATTAATTTAATTGATACTAATAATAATATGTACTCTTACATGACAATAACTAAACATATAACTTTAAAGAGATTTCAGTTGTCATTATAAATCAATGATTTAACATTAACCTGTCGAACATTTAGGTTTGGTTGCATCAAATAACTTTACCAATAACTACCATGTTAAAGTACCAGTTGCATTATTTGGCAATGGTGCGATGACGTCATAATTTTTACCACCCAATCTTCGTCAGTTATGTGAAGAGTTCGATGCTTGGTCGAATGAATGGTAGGCTGATTAAGTTTGAGAACTTGAATTTACTATACGATAATAAAAGAAATGAAAAAAGAAAAACACGTTTGTGTGTTTTCTGTAATAGATAAAACTTGGACGATATTTCACGAAGATATACTTTCAGATTTACATTTTTCTTATTTAAATTATAATAACAAAATTATTATATTTAAAATATGATTATATTATCATGTTCATACCAGATCTTCTTATTCTTCTTTAATTAATGGTTTATCTGCGCATTTCGCACAATTCTGCCAACTTCAAGTAGGTAAATAAATTAATTTTAACATGTAAAATGAAAATGAAATGAATAAAAGATGACGATGATCACAATCCATACCAGATCAATTTTTTACGAACTGACGACCTATGTAGTTTGTGGAACAGACATTCATAAAGAGCATATTGGATTAGTCAAAATTTCAAATTACAAAAAGCGAATAATAAAAAGGAATGATTTTGAAGATCAAAGACAAAAAGTTTGCATGCTGAAACCTAGGACGAAATAAACGGTGGTACGGCACACCGTTACAGTTAAAGATATTATTTTAGAATGGGAGCTAAGAAAGAGGTTGGTGCAACGCATTCCACGGTCAATGTTAAAGTCAGCTTGACCTTAATTGTGAAATTTGACATAAACCATACGTTTAATTGCTTTTATGGTGTAATATATACTTAATTAATATTTTTTTATATATAGTAATATTCATTACAGCTCATTTCATTTGTGATATCTATATCTATCTCATCGTGATAATTTCATCAAAACAATAATGCCAGTATTAGAAACAGATCACAATAAATATACAATTTGATACTATTAAATAGCTCAATATGAAAATAAAATGAACAAATCATAAACTGCCAAGAATATACATATGTATTTAAAAAACTCATCCAGAGCGAGTCGGATTCGCACACGAAGGGTTCCGTACCGAAAACGACCAATCAAGTTTACTGTATGGGAGCTCCCGTAAATATTTATTTTATTTAGTATTTTTTGTTAAAGCGGCAACAGATATACATCATCTGTGTAAATTTCAACTGTTTAACTGTCATAATTCATTAGATACAGCCTGATGATAGAAAAATAATCACTTTTGTTGTACCTATAGGAGCCCTTTAAAATATTTATTTTATTCTGGTGTTTAGTCTATTCTGGTTTAATTTATTTTATAATTTAATTAGTAATAATGTAATTTAATTGATGATTTGACTTCCATAATTTAGACCTTAGTAGGTATTAGTGTTTTTCTTCTTATATTAGTGTATATAGTATATATAGTGTATTTCAAATTGAATAAATAACTTTAAGGTTTGAGCTCTAATGAATGTTATATTTGTATAGGTAATGTGAAAAATTTAATTTACGTTTGTGCAACTGGCTGAGAGTATTTTAATTCTGTAACGTATTGGACATTTGTCGGTTAATAACATGTCTAGCTGTTGCTGTACCTTAAATAAATAAACATAGCTTTGTTAGAAATGATGCCCAAAGTACTCGTAAGTATACCATGCGGACGAAATCAAGTATTAGCATAAATATAATCTTACATCCTTAACAGAGGTCATTTATTTTTATCCAATAAAAAAAAATATATATCTGATCACTTTTGCCTTTTTTAATTTAATTTAATTTTCATGTCAAAGATTTTTCAAGCTAACGAGTTATTAATTTACTAACCAAATGATTAATTAACAATATTAAGTTGATTAATAACCAAGTTATTAATTTTTCAACAAAACTGAGTCAATTCTCAAGCTCACAATTTATTTTAACATATCAAACATATCATAAATTGAGTCACACAATGTAGTTAGATCTGAGATTTTGCATTCTAAAGTACCATTAAAATAATAATAGATTACACTAATTAAATAATACTATTAAATCACAATTTTGGCATTTGCTAATTTTCTTTAGAAAAAATCTTACTATTACTATACTATATCGATAAATGTGTTATTGTTTCTCAAATGCAAGAGCAATTTCCTTGAGTCTTCTTCTATGTACTTTTGTGGATGCTGTCATCGGTATCTCATCTAAGAAGATCACGCCACCTCTAAGCTGCTTCGCGTCCGACAGTGTCTCTGGAACATATAATAAATAAGTAAATATAAGACGTAAAATGGTGACTGAGCAATGGCACAATGGGTGTGCCATTGCTCAGTCACCATTGCTCAGATCCAAAATCTGCAGGAAAATAAGTTATCACTGCCTTCAAAACATAAACTAAGTTGGAAATCAGACTATCTGAGTTATGACATTGACAACACCACATATGTGAATAATTCGATCACGAAAGTACAGAATAGATATATAGAGTATGGTACAATCATCACAGATTTTAAATCTATATTAAATAATAACCCCGAAACTACTGAACTGATTTTAATTAAATATTACATGTATCTGTAATAAGGTTTAAAGTATTATTTATCTCAATTATTATCAAAATAATTAGTAAAAACAATTATATATAATGACTGAATCACAGCAACGCGTGGATAAGTCAGCTAGTAACATTTATAGTTTTCATAAATATCCACTGCGTACACATTTTTCTTAGCATAAAAAGAAGTCGATATCGGAATGAGAGAAATAAGCTGGGATTTATTGTATACTTATGTTCGTTTTTCCATTGGTGTACAATAAAGAATTTCTCATTCATTCATTCATGTTCATCTTCCTGTTCTTAATGTTGTTTAAAAAATTCTCATTGAACCTCGTGTCTGCGTCGTGAGCTATAATTTGACATTCAGAAACCTTCAAGACTCAATAGTCTCTGTAATATGACTTTGCAATGACTTTCACAAATTTATTGGCTATCAAAGCAATTTATTGTTATATTTTGTTTATACAATTAATAATTATGAATGATGTAATATGTTAATAATTCTGATGGACAGATAGCAGTTGATGATTAATTAACAAGGAAAACCTTTGACTATGTCCTTAATGTCCTGAGCAGTGATATTCTGGTCAGATCTTCGGACCACGCAAGCGACCGGCAAATCACCGCACTCTTCATCCGGAATCCCTGTCACAGCTACGTCCAAAACTCCTGGGTGTTGACGAATCACACCTTCTATCTCAACAGGAGATATCTGTGGGTTAGATTAGAAAATATTAACATTATGTAATATCAGATACAATTTTTACATTTGCTGTTCTATAAAAACGCTGTCGCACCATAAATGTTTAACCAAATAAAAACTTTATTACCTTTTTAAGTCTGTTTTATTTAAGCAAATATGTAATAAATAAAAACTTTATTTTCAACTTGGTTTTATTTAAGTGAATATGTAACAGCGTTGTACTCGACGTTGAATTCGACGCTGAGTCTACAGAATAGCATGATGTGACAGAACGTATGATTAATATAATCAGTAAGTTTTAAAATACATTGTTTTAGGTTTCCGTCTTTATCACGTGCTGCGAAGATCATGCATACATATTAGCTGATGGCAGAAGTATTTGTTGTAGTAGTAATAAGTATTTATTCAGATTTCGGCATTATAGAACAGACCTTATAAGTCAGAAATATAAATTCTTTTTTGATTAATTTTCATCGTATAGGTACTTTGAGAATGTTCGCAGTTTTTCTGAATGTCCTGGAACTTTTCTCAGTACAAACACCCGGTTTCTGAATTGAAAATTCAAAGTTAAGAACGTCTCAAGCTGTACCTTAACGTCACATAAACAGGTATTCAATATTGAGTTTGGTTCTATAATCAGTTGATAGCATTTTGATAAAACTAGTACTTCATGAGTTGTGAATTGTAAAAAACCTAAGTTATCAAGAATAATCAGAAAAGGTTTTGTACTTTTCTCAATTCAGAAACCAGCCGTAAGATACATTACAAATTAAGAACTGCTACTATTAATGAAATTTGCTTGTGGAAATTAAAGACTCTCTGTTATTTTCTCGTATCATAAATCAGTAATTTCCAATAATTTCCATAATACATACAGTATTTTCCATAATACATTCGACCTATAAGGGAAAGTGGATCCAAAATGTACAAAGCATGACGGGAGTCCCGTTGAGGAGACTTACGCCCGAGGGTTGAGACAGGGTGGAGAGAGAAAGAGAAAATACATTCTACAATAGCCTACTAATTTTGATGAAAAATTTTTTGTTTGAATCAATATATTCCCATGGAGTAAACATTATAAATTCACGAAGATACGGATAATTAGTTTCCGATAGGATGAATTTATAAGTTAATCTTAAATTTCTCAAAGTTTTTAAGTTCTTATTATATATATGTTAACATTCTTCTATAGATTTAAGGCATAAACTTATCTTTTGATATAATCCATCGATAACATTCAAATATAAAAGGTAAATTATAAATGATATGTGCACCTGATAACTTTTATATTTTAATAACAGCTTAATTCGCTCGACGAAGAAATAATTCCAGTTCTCGTCTCTAAAGAACATGTCCCCTGTTTTGAACCACCGATCTTCGGCGAATGTTTCTTCAGTCGCTTTAGGGTTATTATAATATTCCTGTAAAATGAGTAATTTAGTAAACGACTGGTGATTCATTGAATATGGACCTTATAATAATCAAAAACAAAGATGAACAAAGAACATAACGCTTTAATCTATCAGTTTAAACTAGTACCAAATGATTTCACCGAGATTTGATTCACTTTATATCAATTTTAGAATCTGACCTTCAATAACGAAACCCACCTTGAAAATACCTGGTCCTTTAACCCACAATTCTCCAGACACTCCAGGCTCTAATATATCTTCTTGTGTTTCAACATTTACTATCTGAAAGAAGATAATATACTCGATTGAACCTTTTTAATCACACCTCCTTAGGAGGCGGAATAGGGGTTGAAAGATTGTATAAAAGTCCGTCAGTGTTGATGTTAAGACATATAAAACTTTTGACGTGGATACGTCTATGTTTTCGTTCTACAGGGGGGTCATTCTGTGAGCAGGAGTATATGCACTAACGCCATCTGTTGGCGCTAGTGAATAATTTTGGGCTACTAATTTTAAGTGAATATTAACACTAGTTCAAGTGTGTATTGAAAATTAACTCTAACAAAGCCACTAGCGTAAAGTAAATAATGGGGATAATGTCTAGGTGAAAAATAAGAAATTCTATTTAGCTCGTCAGTCAGATAGAAAAAAGATTGAAAGATATATACGTCATTATTATGGTTCAAATTGAAAAGAAATAGATAATGGGCACAACTGTGTAGAAAATGTAAAAAAGTGTGAAAAATAAAAAATACGTGTTTAATTTTCTTCAATAATCTATTCGACGGACAGACAAACCAAAATGATTCATCATCCCTATTATTGTAAATCTTTAGCTGCTTATGAGTCTTTGATGCTCACACGATATTGAAAGCATCCCATGCGCTTTCCACAAGATCCAGGTGGGGGATTGTCTCCATGAAATCCAATCGTTGTTAATTCTGACATTCCATATGTGTTCACCACCTCTGCTTCTGGTGCAATTTTCTAAAAAAAAACAACCATCGTGTCCTGACATTTTTCTTATTGTCTTTATCTAAGCTGTTAGCTAAGGTAAGGTAAGTACCCCGGTGGCGTAGTGGAGAAGCGCTGCGGCCTGCGATCGTTGTTGTTAAGCAACTTTCGCAAGGGTCGATCACAGGATGACAAAAATAAATATTATTTCGAGCTACTCCGTGACCATGGAAGTCACTTTTTGGTCCCGGCTGCATACGCAGTCGCTAATATCCTAAAATCCGCATTGGCCCACCCTCCTTATCTATCCATAATGAAAGCCTGTGCCCGTGTAGTGGGAACGTAAAGGGGCTGATGATGAAACTGTTAGCATGTCTTCTCTTTTATGACATACAAACAACGTAACACTTAGGGTAGTATAATGATATAATAACGAAATAGCAAAAACAACAGGCAAACTTAGCTATCTTGTTATAGGAATTTCCACGTCGTATTTTACCTTAAACTCGTTAAGAAGATCTTGAGGGACCGCACTACCCCCCAGCAAGACCAGATCTAAACACGTGAAGTCACATTCATCCCGATCACCTGGCTTTAGCAATGTCGTCATTAGGGTTGGACTTAATATTGTGAAAGTAGGCTGAAATAGTAATAATACTAAATAAGCACCAATCGTATCTGTCTGATCTACAAAAATATTTGGTTGGAGTCTACTTTGCAGTAACTGCCGTACGAAGGTACAAACTCTTTTCGAATAAGGAATAAAATAAAAACGAAACCAATTTACTGATGCTAAAGTACGTCCACTGCATCTGAATTTGTAACAGAAGTAACATTTGACAGTTTTGATATAATGGTGCGAAGTAATATACGAGGGTCAAACTGAAAGTTCTTAGAAAATCAAAAACTGATTACATTAGCCAGTTATTAGTTTTATTATATCTTTTCAAAATATTGTCCATTCACGTCAATACACCGCTGCATGCGATGGAACCACTGGGAAAAGCACTTTGCCCACTCGTCCTTAGGGGTCTCTTCAATGGCATCGCGATACGCAGCCACCGCTTCTTCAGCATTCATAAACCGCTTTCCTTTAAGTTTTTCTTTAATTTTTGGAAATAAATAAAAATCACAAGGCGCGAGGTCGGGGCTATACGGCGGGTGACCCAGTAATTCAACGTTTGATGTCGCCAAATAGTCGATCGTTCGCTTGGCGGTGTGCGACGAGGCGTTGTCGTGGTGAAGGAGGATCCTACTGCGAGGTCGTTTCTCTCGAAATTTTTCCAAGACAAGTGGCAAACAATTGGTAGTGTACCATTCTGCAGAAACTTTTTTTTGATCCTCTAACACAATTGTTGCAAAATGACCTATCCTTCCAAAGAACGAGGCCACCATTTTTTTTCCCGCACTTCGATCTCTCTTCACTTTAGTTGGCAACTCCTCGAAAGGAAACACCCACTGAGCAGATTGTCTTTTGGTTTTAGGATCATAACAGTAAATCCAGCTTTCGTCACCTGTTAGTATGTCGAACACAGCATTTGAGTCACCTCCGTTAAATCTTTCAATCATTTTACGACACCAATCCACACGATGGAGTTTTTGAGCCTCAGTCAAATTATGAGGTATCCACCGGGCGCAAAGCTTCCTGACCGCTAAATGTTCGTGGAGGATTTTGTGCACTTGACTCATACCGATGCCTAAGCTTGTCCGAATCTGTTGATAGGTCACTCTTTTGTCAGTCTCTATCATACGCCGCACAACACAGATGTTATCTTCAGTCGTCGCCGTAGAAGGCCGTCCCTCACGTAAATCATCAGTGAGATTAGTGCGACCACGTTTAAACTCATTAAACCAGTTGTAAACAGTCGCACGAGATGGGGCTTCATCGTGAAAGGCCAATCGTAGTCTATCATAACTTTCTTGTTGACTTAAATGACATCGAAAGTCATAAAAAATCATTGCACGAAAATTTTCTCGTGTTAAATTCATGATGACGTGACACAGACAATTTTCAATTTGCCGCCAAATCGTAAAACAAATGACAAATGAATGAAATATATACTCAGTAATATTGGCAAAGAGTTATATTTTCAAATTTTAGAATTATTTTTTTATTATATTGTTTATAAGTGGCCAGTTCTAAGAACTTTCAGTTTGACCCTCGTATAATAGCTCTACGGAAGTACTCCGTATGACGGCGCGCAACGCATTCTTTACTCGTTTAATGCAGACGTCGGTGCGACCGATATTTATACAAATATATGAAAAATCCGTATCGTTCATGCTTATAGAGTGGATGTTCACCGTACAAAGTCTAGTACTTCTATCTGGAGGTTAAGTAATGAAGAAATACCGCCAATAACAGAGGATATATCGCACTTAGAGATGACTTCAGAAAAGCGAACTTAACCTAATTATACCAAATATTATGAGTCAAAACGCCACATTTTCATATTTAAAAAACTCTGCTGGAGAGCCGAAAGAAATTGAAATATTTAATTTTGGTGAAAACGTGCGTACACTACGTAAAATTAGAATATTTTCATTTGTCACTCTTATGCCAATAAACCTTTGTTAACCGTCTTTTTATTTTAGGAATTCTAATTTTACTTACTCTATATGTATTAATCAAGTGGTAAGCATGTTGCTGCGTCAAACCCATTGATGACTGTAACCTTGTGTATCGGAAAATTGGTGACAGTAGAAAATTGATAAGAGCTGTTAACCATTGCAGGGGTGATCCGATCAGTGCTATTTCCGTCGGTGTAGGAAAGTTGTGGAATCTTGACCTGTGTATTAATAAGATTGACATATTTATCAATGTAATACGTATTGAACTAACCAGTAATACGTATTGAAGAGTATTTATTTAACTGTGACTGCAGAGACACAGAGCAAGATAACTTTCCCAAAAGTCGACCCAAAGTGACCAAAAATGTGGTGCAGGCTGCATGAGTGGTCATTACCACCCACTAATCGTTTAGGGTCCGTGTGATGGATTAAAGTCTATTCCCTCTCTGTGAATCTATTCCAAGGGAGGGCCTTTGCCACAGCAGTGGAAATATTATTAGGCTGATCATGACCTTATTATAACCATCACTCTTTAAACCAAAATAAAATGAAATTTATTTTATAATGTGGTCCTACCTATATAATATACGACATATAATTAAGTTGATAAGAATTTTAACGGGTGCCTTTGGTATCCTGCGAAGAGCTGCTTAAGTACCTATAATGTTTATTTCTAAACACAAATACTTGAAGACTCACCAAGGACACGTATAACCAATTAATTTGTTTTGTTATCTGTAGTTAAAATAAATTAAACTCATAAATATTTTATTGAAACAAAGGAAACGATTAATCGTAAGTATTTAATACTTAATTAAGGGTTTAATGGATGTCAGAAAAAAAGTTGTTTACAAGTTTGTAACCATGTACCTGATAATAAGGATCATTATTATCAGGTACATGGTTACAAACTTGTAAACAACTTTTTTTCTGACATCCATTAAACCCTTATGACATACATGTCATAGATAAGGTACATGGTAGCAATTCCGTAAATAACTATAGCTTAACCTTGAAAATTTCAAACAGTATGTTTATTGAAGTAATCGAATGCCGACTGTCCTTATTAATTTTAAGGATTTTTCAAATCCATCAAATTGTACTGTTTGTTCCTATATTTTTGCATGTTATATTAGGGGTTTAAGTATGAAATTGCCGTTTTATTGTAATAGGTTTCTTGAATTGACATAGAATCTTCATGGTTTGAGGTTTTCGAAAGAAACTTTTTTCAAATGGTTTCTATGATGTTCTCCTTTAAAAAATGTGAAACATTTGAATATTGACTTTCGATTGTTTTTGTTATTCAACTAAGACAAGAAATGAAGGAATATTGGATTGAATTATGACATGTGATGAAAAGTGGATTCTTGATAACCGTAAAAGAAAAATGCAATGGCTGACCCCAGGTCAAACGCCACAACAGTATCCTAAGCAAAACTTACCGATAAAAAGATAATGGTAACTGTTCGGTGGTCTCAGCATGGTTTTATTCGCTATAGTATTCTCTGATCAAGCAATAATGG